AATGGAACAGTTTGAAAAGTGGTCAGGCTTTAATCCTATTTTTTAAAACAGACAATTCAAAAGAATTAATTGATTTTTTTTTTTTTTTTGGAACACCACAGCAATGATCTTTTAAGTGGCTACAAGACATTAAGTAGGAACAAATTTATGCTATGACCCTAGCAGGCCATGCTGTGGATAAGCAAAATAGGTCTTTCCCTATCCATCCTCTTAGCCCAACTGAACTTGCCCTCTCTGCTGAGGGGAGCAGGGAGAACAGAAGATGCTCAGGAGCTGCTGTTTCCCCTCCTGAGGAAGGGATGTGAGGAAAATACAGAGCTGAGGGTCCTCTTCCCCAGCTTCTCTTGCTCGAGTGCTGGAGGAGAAAACAACTTCTTTCTAGAAGATACAAAGTGACACAACCATGATTTGCAGCAAACAAGGTTTAGGAACCTAAATGCTAATTGGTCCTACATCATTTCACAGTGCTCTCCTGAATAACTTTTGCTGGATGAATGAGACCTATTTATTTTCACAGGAACAACAATAAGATTTCCTATTTTTAAGTGCTTTGTGTCAAAGGACCACACAGATGTTTCCCAGCCATATGTACACTCCAAGGGACTGCTTTTACACCTCTGATACAAAAAAAAACATGAGGAGGGGCAACATGGGGTTTTATTTTGATTCTTAATTATAACACTGGCATTCCCCATGGAAAGAAAAGGCTGAAACCTAAACCCTTCAAAATTTGCTTGAGATAATTTTCACAGGTCATCCTTGACAGAAGGGACTGTGCCCTGCCTGGTTTGATGGCACACTAAAGACAGCTACAGAGAAAGGCAGTGTATATCCCAATTATTCAAAATCATCCTAATGACCTCAGTGAAGAGAAAGCCACTATTAACAGTGGTTTGGAAGCATTAAAATGCTCTGAAACTCTTGTCAAAGACTCAGAAAGAGGCATAAACCCTGCAGTAGCAGCTCAAACCTGGTCTCTTGCTAGGCTGACCCGGCAGCTAACACCTGGATGCTCTGAAGAACAGCAGCACTGAAGACAGGATACTGCTGGAAAAAATGCTGCTCTAGAAAGCTCTCTTGTGAGGGTGATAACCTTACAAGACCCATGGGAACCAACTGCGAAATCTTAGCCCACTCTGCCCTTGGAAAATGAAAGCACTGGCATAGAAATCTTTAATCCAACAGGAGGAGACTTTTCCACCTGGTAGTAGGTTCACCTGGCATGGAGGTACAGTAACTGATGCAACTCTACAGAGAAAGCTACACCAGGGAGTGCTGGCTTTGCTGACAGCCCTCAAGGTATCTTCAAACAGCTTTTACACAGAAAGCTCTCAGTGGTATAACATGCGATTCAGCTTTCTGGCTTACATGCTCAAGTGTGTTGGTGCAGCCATATTTTTTACCTTCTTTTTTACAATTAAAATGAATGGATATTCAGGCCTTTTCCTGTGAAATAGGCAGGGGCTATTTTTGCAGGATTTCACAAAAAGTCTCTAGAGTGTGATGCACTGGAAACATTTCAGCAGCACAATCTATTTCTAGTTTTATAGTTTATTTCTAGTTCCTATTTCTAGTTTAATATTTTGAGTTTTATAGTTTAAGAATTCCTACTTCAACTGTTCACTTAGAAATATCACCAAGTGAGACATTCTGAGTAATTTCTTTAAAATGTACAGCAACACCAGAGAAACTTTACATGTACATCAGTGGGGAATTGCTCCTACCTTCATCTGCTCAGGGAAAGTGATTTCCCTTTAGTAGTATTCAATTCTCCCTCCAACCAAAACCTAAATTTCTGTTGTAGAAATTCCCAATGTCTTACAGAGTCTGACACCTGGAAAGGTAGCTGGCAGCCCACACCATGTGACACCATGCATTTGAACCTCTAAAAACAGCGTGTGGAACTCCAACCAGGATTTGCAGTCTATGAACATATCCTGCATATGACTAGCGGGGTATGGTCAGCAAGACTAATACTAGCTTTGTAAAAGATGGCTCAAGTTTTCAGCAATACTGGGATATCTTCCTATCTGAATTCCTATTCTGAATTTCTGAAGACTTCCTACAGCTCTGTCTCATCCCAGAGGGGTTGAAAAGGCCCCATGTGTCCTACTCTCACACTAGTATCAGCTCTCACCCTACTTGCAGGCTAGTATTCAGCTTACTATAACTTTGCTTTTTAACTGTTTCTTCCCATTGGTTTCCCTCAGAAAATTTGCTGGGAAATTTTCTCCTTGTGAACTTCTTGCTGCAAGGTTATTTTTGTTGGTTTTTGTTTTTTTTTTTTCCCTGATTTAGTCAAAATATCAGCTAGAAAAATGATTGAGAAAAAGGAGTCCACAGATGATACCTGAATGATACCTGAAATCATAGCCAGTGCTGTAGCTCTTGAAGCTAAGAAATGCGGCGGGCACCAAAATGATATGCAGTTTGGAGTATGGGTATGTTCTCCCCTATTCTGGTGCTCTCTGTGAGCCATTACAAACCATAATTGTGGGAGGACAGTATCTTCTGAAATCTAATTGAGAGAAAATATTGTTTAGACAATAAAGATTTTTAATTTATAACTGCAGCTTCAAAAACAGCTACAAAAGCAAATGCAGTTTTGCAAATGTAATCAGTTTCAGTCAGAAGAGGCTCATCCTCCTTTTTTCCCTCTAAATGAGCAACCAAATGGAGCTGCCAATATTCCAGATTCTTGATCTCTCCAAACTAACTTAACCTTGATACAAAACACAGAGCACCTTGTTAAAATAAACTTGTTAACATGTTTCAAACTTGCTGCTTGGACTCGATGCAAGTGAAGGCCTTCTGTAGACAGATAAGTTTGACCCAAGGCACTGTGAACCTTCAACCAGGTCCTGATTTTCCCTAAACCTAACATTTCTGCAGCACTTCCAAGAAAATCTGGAAGTATAAATTTTAATGATATAAAACAGTCAAATTCATCAGTACCATTTGTTTTAGAATAATGATTGAAGGATGAGCTCAGTGTTGCTGTGTTTCCCAGTGTTTTCTTTTTTTTTCCTCAGTTTGAAAATCAAGGGTACAGGTCTTGAAACAACTCCTAAACACCATTAAATTAATCAGTGAGAGCAATAATAATTTCAGCTTCATGTTCATAGAACCTAAGTCTCAAAGTCTTCCTGAGCATCTGTGGCAGATATAAACATTAATTCAATCTTCCAGTCACTTTGAATTACACTTTGGTACTAGATCATGCAATCACACAGTCTCAGGAAACCACCTTGTCCATCTGTCTCCTCAAAGAGGGATAACTATCACTCCACATCACGTTGATCATATCAGGGCCTCACCTAGCCAAGGCTGGAATACCCCCATGGAGGGAGGATGCACCACTGCTCTGGACAACCTCTTCCAGTGTCTGACCACCTGCATAGGAAGGACTTTTTTTCCTTGTCTCCAGTCAGCAAAGCCTTCACCAAGGCCCCCTCCACTGTCTCCTGTCCAGGATGAACAAACCTAGATCCTCAGCCTCTCCTCCATGCCATGACCACATTGGTGGCCCTGACTGGGCTCTCTCCTGTTAGAAATTACTATCGACTTTGTCACTTGATCATAAAATTTTGCCTTGCTATCATCCTCTGTTACAAATACATGATTCTGCTATAAATTGTTTGATATAATTAAGTTGCACCTAAAAATACTAGAGTTTAATACACAATTGTGTCTTGTGTCATCTTACAGCAGCAGTCCCCAAATATAATCTAAACAATACTAATTTGCTGTGACAGCAGATATAATCTTAGTCTTTCACGTAGAATTTTAGCAGCAGGAAAACATTTTCCAACTGCCTTCAGCAGTATAGATGAACATCCAGAAATGCTACTGCCATTTTTTAGAACTAAAATACATATACACAAACTCTGAAACCTTTTTTCGTTCCAATATACCTGTAAAGGGCTGAAGGTTAAAGAGAGCACTGTCCAAGAAAGTCCTTCTGGAAAGCATTAATTCCCAAGAAACAGAACAGAATAATCCACATATGTGAGATGACATGGTAAAAATTTCAAGCCTGTTTTCATAACTTCCTGGACAACACATTCATACTGAAACCTAAACACTGTTTGCTGTAGTTTGAAGCACTGTAACTTGGATAGAAAAACTGACGCATATGAAAATAATGTGATATAAGCTTATGTGCCTGTTCAGACACAGTTTTCACTAGGAAACATTTATACCACTTTCTCCCGTACATTGTTTAAGCTGGACTTGGCATAGGTTTATGGTTAGACTTGATGATCTTAAAGGTCTTTTTTAACCTAAGCGATTCTCAGATGTGAAACATTTTACAATGGTTATTTTCATATACTTAAAAAATTTACTTGCAAGCAAACCTGAATGCATGCCACATCATTTTCTTTCAGAGGTCAATGTCAGCGAAAACTTGGCACTGGTACTTGACATATCTCATGTCTTTCTCCCTGCTTTCTTGCAGCTCCTTCTACCTAAACTGCTCTTCAAACCCTGGTACACTCAGATTCTAACTTCTCTTTCCTTCAGAGACATCTCTAACAGCATTTCTTCCAGAAAGCTCAGGAAGAAAATCTTTCTAAACACCCCAAGACTCAAACCCAAACTCATGCTGTTTTGCTCACAATTGGAAGATTATTTCATTTCAGCAGCAACCCCCCCACCTGGTGATTCTGAACTAACTCTTCCTTTCCTGCTTCTCTTCTCTTGGACCATTTCTTCCTCTTCCCTAAGAAACATGCAGCAGTAACAACGTCTCCCACTCTTCTGTGATGAAAGCTTACCCCCAGCTCTGTACTCCTTCAAAACTCCCTCCTCATTTACCTACATGGGATGTCTTTCAGTCCTGGGCAAGCACCTTCACAAAGCCTACCAGTCTTACATTACTTTGTAGATCTTAAGATTTAACCTTGTCTCTCTGGTTGTCGGTTTCCCAAGGCAAAGGCAATGTTTTTCCATAAGGTCTCTTCAACACTGATTATATCACACAGATAATTTCTAATTACCTTTCTGTTCAGAGCCACACCATCTTCACAGTCCAGCACCGCACAATCTACATTTAGTGATGGGATTTTTTGTATCTTCCTTTCATCATCCGCAGGTACGTACAGCACAGCTCGCCTGGGAATGTACTTGTGAGAGGATGCAAAGCGGTAACTAAGCTTAGTAACACCAGCTGGCAGAGGAGAATCCACCCTGCAAAAGACATTTTTGAAATTAGACTCTTGGCTACAATGCTGTAAAGAATATTTGACTGTATTTTAAAAGGGAAACATTCCTACGTAAACAGTGGCTGGTTTTGGGTTATCTATAGTTTATTTCTTCTTTAGGAAGAATCAAAGTAGGGAAGTATCAGTATTACAGCTAATTACAGTATAAAACTCCAAAACTACTATGTTCAACAGAACTTGCAAACTTACAGACTGAGAACTGAAGAACTACCAGGGCTGAGGTTATCTGTGCAGGCTTAATCACGCTGCTCGTTCTGTGCGCTAGAGCAAGTACTAAGTACAGAAGGGTGGTGGCTGGTTTTTCCCCTAGTCATAGGACTCCTCCATAGGATGGAGGCTGTGCTGGGAACAGATCAAGACTGCTTTAGGGAGGAGGCTGCTATCTGCCGTGTTTGCTCCAGGAGCTGGATGGCATGCTGTGAATGAAGCAGGGGTGTTGGTTAAAACAAACATGGGCTTACAAAGTTGATTTTGAAACCTTGGTGTTATGCCAAAAACACATTTGCATGCAAATCTTAAATAAGCAAAATGGATGGAAGGGGAAACAAGGGAAACAGGAATGAAAACCCCATGTAATATGGAACCTCACTAACCCAAACACGTCCTCTCAGAAGTCTGCAGACCTCCAGATCCACAGCACAGACTTCCATCAACAGAGCTCAGAAACCCATCTGTAGACTGTTGACTGCGGTGCCTTTTAAAGCTTATAAATGCTTTGTGCACCACACTCCAGTGCAGGTGTGAGCCTGTGGTGCCACATGGCTTGAGTAGGTGGCATCCGCATGGACTGGAGGCGTCAGGTTTGCGGTAGTCTCCACCCTGTGCCGGTATTCCTGGTGAGGGACCATCTAATCCACCCTAGGCATGAGCCAGGTCGGTGCACTTGGAGGCAGTGGGACTGCCAGGGGAGGCTGCCCTGAGTGCGGTAGGGAGCTTGCTTTGCTCCATAATTATAAGCACAGAGAAATAAATTGCAGAGGGTGCCTCTGTGTTCCATGGCCCTCCAAAAAAATCCCCCTGCCTGCTCCTGTTCCTCCCCGTTTCACACTGTACCCCCCAGGCCCATTCATACATGAAAAATGAGGACAAAGTAATACAATTTGCCTTCTTACTCAGAGCACAAGTCACTTATTCCACAAAATAATCCTACCATATAACACCATTATGCATTCTCATGTATATTATTCAGCACTTTGAGTAATGCAAAGCTTTTCTAGCACCATGCTGAACATGTCATTATCTCATCATGTCAGGGACCCATGCATTTTCCTGTGCCCCTCTTAATAATGCTTCCCAAGTTTCTACACTTGGATGATGTATGGCTACATGCGTACATGGGTTTTCTTTGATGTGAACATGACTAACCCTCTCAAAATGCTTGGAAACGAGTTCAGTCAATCTAAATCACAGTCAACATGGTGTGAGGCTGACAGACCACTATAGTACTTGCCTAAGCAAACCCCATAGAAGAACCTTCTCTTCCCCTAGAGTGTGCATCCTAAAAGCTGAATGTAAGACATAGATTGAAAAGATGAACAAAGCTTTTATTACATTTTATCTCAGTAAAGTAAATTGAAAAGGACAACTATTCCACCCCCTCCTCTGCTGTGTCTCTTCATGTCTTGGGTGGACCTACTAACAAGCCCACAAAAACCCACTGCCAGACTCTTCCTTGTAATATGCCTAGTAATGCTTAATTCAGCCTAAGAAAGGGGGTGGCTTTGCTGTTGAAAAGAAATGACACATTGTTTTATTTCAAGTGCTAGTGCTACCCTAGCTAATAAATCTTCTTCATCAACAGCTTCCAGACTTAGGTGGTGGAGGTCCTGACAACACCTGCAGACGTGCAACTGGGATCCACTAAGTTTCTCTTAAGTACCCTCTTTGCCGCTTTTCCACAAACCACTTCATGTCCCCTGCTTCATGTTGAAGTGGGGATGGTAACACAACTTATGGCAACTCAAGTGGCTGCTAGTTAAATCCACTTAATCCCATTTTCTTCCAGTAGTACACTTTGGGAGAGCAAGGAGGAGGTGGAAGAGTGGTTTATCTCAAATGGAAACAGGAGGGGTTTGTTTCAGTGTGACACAGAGGGCAGTAAAGAAGTCTGCAGTCCTCCACTGAACACATATGAGGGGACAAAAGTGATTAGCTTCTATTCTCTTTCTCTGATGGCTTCAGCCCTGTAGTTCCCAAAGGCACAAAGGAGTCAAAGAGCTCAGGCCATTAATAGTTAACTCCAGCCTAGAGCCAAGCAGCCCCTGAAGCACCCTTAATGACTGCCTCTCACCAATCCTTCAACTCCAGAAACTGGACAGACGTGGCTGATACCATAATCCAGAGTGTGCTGAGATGAGATGCATCTCCAATCACATATTTGCCAGGATTTCTTCTGGGCTGGTGTTGAACCAAGGGATGTTTGACCAGCTGGCTTCCCTCTCACTGCTGCAAGGCCTATAAAGGCAGCTCTGCTTACCGCCCACAATGGCATGTAGCATCTTGTAGGTAAACCTGTTGTTACCTCCAGGCCAGATTTAGTTAGGTGTCACCACTGAGGTCTATGAACTTTCCTTTAGATGGGAGACCAATGGCTTTCCCAGCAGACCACCTGACTCCAAACACATGGCAGATTTAATCCATTAAAATATTAACACCTGATATGCTTAATGCTAGAAATACTATCACTTGCTGACTATCTCCTCCTCAGCTAATCAATATTGTAGCCACATGGGCCTAAACCACAGGTTTCTCAGGACACAGGTTATTATAAAAATACACTGTTCATGTGTAAATTGGTTAGTCCTATGGAACATTTTAGCAAGTTGAAGAAGCAATAATTTTTTCAAGAGGTATGGCCAGAAACAAAGCTGTACAGGAGGAGCTGGTGTCAGTGGGCCAACACAGCATTCTTCTCCTTTCAAAACAAAGCGCTCTAGACATGTACATGTAAAATAAGAGTTTTCAACACATATGCTTAGGTGTGACTACAGTAAATGTTTTCATATGCTATTACTTTGACATATATCCCTAAAAAATCATCTTCTTACTCTGCATTTTCCTTCCATAGTCATCTTTTATGTTCTACAACAAAATGAAACGTAGAGGAAGAAGGGAATTTATTAAAAAATCCATTTGCTTATAAACCTTTTCAAAACAGCAAGACCCAGGGTGCTATGCATATGAGCAGTTAGCTACTGTGGTAGGAAACACTATCCTGATTATCTCAACTTCTGTTATTTTGTTAGAATAAAAACATCCCCAGTGGTTACTGCAAGCTCAGTTATATTGTTAACTGCATGCTGTAAAGAGGAAGAAAATCTTACATATGTTTCCTGACTGCAAGTATTTTAATGATTCAAACTAAGCTTGACTATGCTTTAAACTAAACACACGGACATAAGCCAAAAGAATTTGCTAAGACAATGTTTCTTCCTTTAAGCACTGTAAGTTAAAACAAGGACTAGGCTATTGGGTAATGCTCATTAAATTGTTTTATAGCCGCATATTTTCATTCATAGCATCTAGCAGCATGCTGAATGCTCTTGGGTCTTGGAAATGAAACTAAATTTCTTCGGCAAACATAACACTTTACTGAAGTCTTCATCAAATATGCAAAAGTAGCTGGTGAGTTAAAGTTACTCGTGATCCTCTGAGAACTGTTTCACCCAAGAGCAAGTAGTTCATCCTCAGGAAGGAGAAAATAAAACCTTTTTGATTACTAAGAGACATTGCACTTTGCAATGGCAGCCATACAGTGTGACTGGAACCAGCAAAATTACCCCAAATTATACACATTTCCCTGCTGTAAACTGCATTTTCACATTCCAGTGTTGCTCATACTCACACATATACTTAACTGCACACACCTGTGCAGTCTCATCAGAGCCAACAACATACAGCTCATGAAGTAAAGTGATTTTCAGGATCAGCACTTTAGCCTGTCCCTCTGTTCCCTGCTTATTTGCTAGATGAAAGCATCCCTGGAAGAGACACTACACCACAATCTACCTGAAGCATGGAAAAATATCCATTTCTTAACAGGCCAAATCTCTCCTTCTGTAGTCTTTGGCACAGTGTTGGCAAAGTGTTTTCAAAGAGCTTTTTCCAGCATTTCACTAAAACCATTTAAAAAGACGGATAATTTCTGCAATGTGCATTTCTGACCAGTATGCACGTAGCTGTGTACCAACCACGATCCTGGTGGTGTGTGGCAGAAGGACAGAAGTGAATGAAGACCACTGAACATGAAACAACTAATGCAGCAAAATCTCCTACAAATTATTCCTCTAATATGAGCAAAAAACCCCAAGCCAGAGTAAATACAATGGTTCTCCTATGTTGAATTTTCTAGGGAGTAGCTCACAACCACACACAAATAATCCACCAAAGACAAAGGAAACTACTTCGAAATTACAAAGCCCTGCAATTTGCATAGTAATTCTTTCTAACTAAGAGAAGATATAAGTTGTTTGTTATAAATATCAGCAGGCCCTGTGCAAATAGGAAGGGCTCTCAGCCGAGCTGAGTATTTGTCGAATCAAAGCGGCTCACCAGAGTTTTATTGGTACAGCTGTGGCGCATGCATTTTATCACACATGCTAATAATCCTGGTTATGGCACTAACATTTTAATCATTTGTTCTGTGGGCTTGTTTCTCAAACAATTAGCACTAATGAATGGCCAAAATACCTCAGATCATATATGTCTAATTGCAGTCAAGAGCGGTTATTGTCCGCATGTACATTTCAATTCACCTCTGGGGATAATGTTTGTTAATTGTATTTCTTTATATAGCAAGTGAAAAAAGGCTGTTCACTCAAAAAGGGACTAAGTGTTCTCTTCTTTCCCTTTGTTCCCACAAGAAGCTAAAGTCACTTCAAGAGGCACTTAATCCCATCATCCATGGTTACAATTGCCTTACAGCATCAATCAAAAAGATTCTGAAGTAAAATGATGCAGCTATAT